GCGTCTCCGAGGGCCTCAGGCCGAGACCAGTGTCTGTCTGGTCTCAGCGCCTCCTTACTGGGGTAAGGACTGACATTAGCATATTCTCTTGGTCAAGGTGGGTGGAACCAAGGAGGGTGTTTGGGGAAGCTCTGTGTGTGTCCCCCTTCACTGCCCCCAGGCCCGTCGGCCCTCCCAGCTCCTTGGTCTCCGCTGCGTATCTAGCAGGGTCTCAGTAAATCCTACAGAAGGAACCAAGGGACCTGCCTCAGGAATCTTAGAACAATGCAAACAGCCCTCGCAACAGCAGGCTAATGCTTCACAGCTCTCTGAGCGCCTTCTCTCGCATTACCTCATTTCACGTACCTGCTCTCATTTGAAAATGTTGCAGGGTGTAAGCATATAATTAAAATATCAATTAAGCCAGATTCTGAAATACATCAGTCTGTGAGCGAGCATGAATTAAAAAAAAAAACCAAGATGACAGATTATCAATCTAGGACTCATTCCCCAAGTACGACCCTCAACCCACCCCTAATTTCACTCCAGCCATGTGACTGTCCCCACTGCCCTATGCCTGGCAGCTTGCCTCACGTTGCTCTTATGCTCTCTGTGGGGATGTCTCTCCCCCTCATCTACATGTGAAAGAAAATCTTCCTTAATCTTCATAGCCCTGGTCCTACATCTCCGTTTTGTTAGTTTTCTTAACATTATTTAACTCTTATCATCTCTCAGCCTGGGGCCTGATCTATAGGTGTTGGGGCGCACATCTGTTAGATAAATGAAGAAAAGTGCCTGGCGCATTTGGAGGTCTGGTACAGTACTTGGCTGACTGGCATTTATTAACCTTTCTGTTCCCTGTGTGGCCTAACCCAATGCCAAAAAGCAGGCGTCCTGGGCTGGGGCCAGTACTGAGTCAAAACGCCTTTTCAGTGCAGTCTCTTTTCTGAATGAAGCTGCTTGCCAGGTACAGAATAAATCTCGCATGTTACAACTTGTTTGCTTTAGGTTTTAACCAGATTTCTCATTAAAAAACAAAAAACAAACAAACAACAAACCCCACAAAGCTCACAAAAATCCATTCTCTTGGCAAGCAATATAATACCCTGGGAGGATTATGGAAGATTTAGTTTAGTTTCTCTGAATGCACCTGGCGGTGTGTTCTCTGTTGCTCTCTCCAAAATATTATTGCCTATGTAGACAGTAGATAAGACCCATGAGTGCGTGTGTGTGAGGACATGGTGTGGGTGAAGGGGTGTGGGCTTTGAAAGGCAGGCAGACCAGGTTCAAGTCCAGCTTGACTGTTACCAATGGCATGATCTAGGATATCTATAAAATGGGGCTAACAAGACCTACGCTGAGAGGGTGTATAAGATTCAAAGGCAGCCAAAGTGCCTGTAGTTCCTGACACCAGGAGACGCTCTCTCAAAGGGCAGACTGGAGTCTGAGGACGCGCCGTGGCTCCTGGAAAGCTCTCTCCCCTGCAGCTGTAGACAGACACATTGTCCCATTTTTGTGGCATCTGGAAGGAGTGCCTTTTGTTTTTTACTGTGGTTGTCCCCAACCAGCCTGGAAGCACCTTGAGGGCAGGGCCACGTCTCATCCTTCCTTCTGTCTTGTGGAGGAGAAGCTCTCTAGGTAGGTTGGCTAGATGGGCCCTGGCCTCACTGGGGAGACCTCTGGGAGAATCTGAATCTCCTTGGGAGGCTTCTTTGCTCTGCTTCTGGTTCTTGCTGCCAGGCTGGGACATCAGATCATTTCAGAAACTACTTTTCAGCTCTCCCTCCTGGTCAAGGGAGTGAGTGTGGCTGGCACCGTGGGATGGAAAGAGCATGGGCTTCACAACCCCCACTCTACCACTAGTGAGCTGTCAGATTACGACCCCCTTGGGCCTCAGTTTCCTGTTCGTAAAGATGGAAACACTGACACTACCCTTGTAGGACTGCTTTAGGGTTAAGTGACAAGGCAGTGGAATCTTCTTACACAGGGCCCAGAATACACTGAGGTCCTCAGCTTTTCTTGTTAATAATGTGGGGAGATATAAAACATACGTATATGTATAGGGTCTGGACTCCAGTTTGCCCCTGATGGAAACCTGGTAGTGGGGTTTGGGGAGGTGAGTTTTTTAGGCACTCCTAAGGGCATTCTGAGGACCAGCTAGATTTGGAAGGGACTGATTTTTGATTCCTTGATTCTGGGATGCCATTGATCGTGAAGTGTACCACCAAGAACAACTTCTCGGAAAAAACTGTGTCAATTACCAGGTAAGTTCATACATTTCAAGCTCAGACATATAGAAATGTGCACTAGTGAACTGTGAATTGTCTCAGCTCTGGTCATGGGTCTGAGAAACTGAGGAAGTCCAGGAGGCAAATAGCAGTAACCCCCAGTATGAGTCCATGACAACCTTGGGGTCACGGGGCACACTCAGTGCCGGGAGGCCTCAAAGACTGCACTTCAACCTCTCCGAGGCCTGGGATGCAGAGTGTTGGGGACTCAGCCCCTGTCTCTCCCTTCTCCAGCATCTCTTAGCTGGACATACTAGACTTTCTTTGGGGTTCAGGCCATCTGGAGCCAAGCCTGAGGGAGGCAGGGCATACTTCTCAGCGTTGGGCCCACGTCCAGGGGATCAGCCTTCAGGTGGCAGCTGGCAGGCCAGTCCCCACTGCTGGGTTTCCTCATTATTTCTTGGATGAACCTTCATTGCCTCTCTCAGAGTTGGGAAGGTGGGACAGTCTCCATAAGAGCTCCACCTCTTTGCTTATGTTGTCTTGGTCCCTGAGACTGTGCTAACTCAGATTGCCCTCTGGAGTTCATTGTATCTGTTGGTATTTGGGCAGGAAAGCAGAAACCAGGCTAGGTATATCAAACAGAGGGACTTTGACAGAGGCTGTAGAGTGAATAGACCTTGGGAGGCTGGGATGGCCAAGGGAGACTGCGAGGAGGGGGGATGTGACCAACATCTGGGAGCACAAAGGAGGGTTGTAACCCCAGGAGCAGTGGCTGTGAATGGGGGCTGCTGTCTCTGGAGTCGGGTGATGGAAATGGCACAGCTACACTAGAGACATCACCACAAGAAGGAAGGAAGAGAGAAAGAACAGCCACCTGTTAGTGAAGAGCTTGTGAGGAGGTCAACTATCGGGGGGCCAAGTGTCACTGAACTGTGTGCAGAGGGTGGGCGTGGGGCTGGGCGGCAACAGTAAATAATAAATATATCTGGGCTATCAGCAAATATTCATTAAGTACCTTTAATAATTTGAGTATTGTTGTGGTGCTGGAAAGTAGACAGGGAACAAAGCAGGAGAGTCTCTGTTCTTTCAGAGTTGACAATTGAGACAGAGAACAAACATAATAATAAAAATATAATATCTAGCATCTCTGATGGTAGGGAGTTGCAGAGAAAAGTGAGCTGGGGAGGTGGGCAGGGAGTGGTGGGAGTGGGTGGGTGGGCAAGCAAGGTTTCCCTGAGGAGGAATGTTGATGCAAAGGCTTGGAGAAGCTGGGGCAGTGAGTCCCGAGGCTGTCTGGGGAGGAGCAGGCAGAGACACAGCAGGTGCAAAGGCCCTGAGGCCACCATGGTGGAGGGACAATGAAGTGGCCAGAACAGAGTGTGTGAGAGCAGAAATTGTAGGACAGGAGGCCAGGGGGAGCTGCCAAGACCCCTTAGAACCTAAAAATCTTTACACAGGCTTCTGGCAGGCCCAGGGTCCCCTCCTGACTATAACTGGGGTTACTGGCTCTGGTGTTCCCTTCCTTCTCTTATAGGCTCTGCAGAGAGGCCCAAGGTGGAGCTGGAGCACAGACACTGCAGAGCCTGGTGGGCTGTTGTAATGACTTTGGCTTTGATGGGAAGTAGACGAAAGCCGTTCCCACCTGCCCTGCTCAGTCCCCACTTTCTCCTCAGCCACCCCAAATCAGGAGTGAAGGCCTGCCAGCTCAGTAACTAGGATTCTCTTCCCCCTAACCCCAGCAGACACACACTCTCCACTAGGCTGTGGTCTTTCCAAGACCAACCCCTACCCATTTTATGCATCATTTTATGTCTGTCTGGTGCTTGGCACCCAGTAGGGGGCTTCATTAATACCTGATGAGTGAGGAAGTGGTTGAGCAGACCCTCATAGCTCACATTGGTCACCTGCTCCGTGACTCAGATGACCTAATCAAAGTCAGTGTCAAATTGGATGCACAAAATCGGTCCCATTAGTTAGCTGGAGTCAGTCAAATAATAGAGGAGTTGTTTGATTAAATTTTTAAACTGGTAGCATGAAACTTGTGAGCTTCTATTCTCAGGAGCCATGAAAACTTTGGGGCAAAGGTGTTCCTACACAGAAGGTGTGTCCACCCCACTGCTTTCTGGTAATGACAGGGTTCCCCCCCCCCCCACTTTTATTAGTGATGAAAGGTTTGTTGGAGATAATTGTATTTTTAGCAGTACAGTTAATGAACTAGCTAAGCGTCAATAGATAGAATCATAAAACCATTAGACACCAGGAGCAGTAATGGGAAACTGTGTCTGGTGGTAATGAAATTAAGTGTCTTTATGAGGTCACTTTATTACTTTTCTCCTCGGCGCTCTTGCCCTCCTGAGTACATAGTGGCTGCTGCTCCTAATTGCTATTTCACTAAAATGCGCAATGCTATTCACTTTCTGTTTTAAATTCCATGTATTTCTAGGGCCTTCAGGTTCATTAAGCCCTCCAAGAGAGTGCAAGAGAAGTGGTGGTTATGAAAGTTTCTGGAAGTGGCCTGGTAGTGTGGGAGAATGAGGATGGCAGAAAAGGTTGACGTAAAATATGAGAAGACGCCCCTAGACTTAGTAGTGAGCTCAGACTGATGAGTTCTCATGCTCCAGGTTGAGCTCATGTGGCCTCTGAAGCCAGGGGAAGGTCAGGCACAGAGGGTCTGGGTGGCCACGGTTACACCTGTACCTCAGCCATACTTTGCAGTGTCAGTGCACACCCCTATGTGTGATTTCCTCTAGCTTGCACCCCATGGGATACATTTCTATTCTTGCTTTTCAGATGCAGAAACAGAAGCTCATGGAATGACCCAGGTGCTCCTGCTGTTTTGAGGACAAAGTTGGTATGTTTTCCCCACGCGAGGTCCCTCGTGAGTACGTGTTAAGTCAAATCACTCGCCGGTGATTTAAACCCTGTCTAGCCAGGCTCATGGTATCATACTTAATTCAATAATTGGAGAAATATTTACTGAGTATCTACCATTATCTGGGAATATGATGAGCAAAACAGACTCCCTCCCTATCTCAGAGAACTTAGATGTAGCTGGGAATTGCTGAATAAGCAACAGAAATCAGTGAGCTGGGTGAGGTCATAGCACAGGCACCAGGCTGGGGAGGCTGGTGGCAGGAGCCCCTGATCTAACCTTGGGGCAGAGAAACCTTCCTAAAGGAAAGCAAGCTTTAAGCTGGAGCCTGAAGTGTGGAGGTTAAATAGATGAAGGAGGGGGACGAGAGCACAGGTCAGGAGGAAGCCTATTCTAAGGTTCAGCTGAAATGTAAAAGGGGTCGGTGGCTGAAGGATTGAATGTTTAAGAGGCAGCATCGATTGATAGGACTAAGGGGCCTACTTGATTGCAGGGGCCCAAGGAGGGGGGAGAGGAATTAGGAATGCCTCTCCAGTTGCTGGCTTGGTCACGTGGGGGATGATGGCACTGGCAGTATTGTGGGAGGAGCTTAAAGGTGGAAGTGAGTGGGAAAATGTGATGAACAATTTGGGGGCACATCCCACTGTTAACTAAGATGTGTCACAGCTGGCCAGGCCTCATAGTGCCTCAGGGCCAGAAGCTGTATTATAACCCTGATGCAGACAGAACGTTAATTCTTTCACTGAGCCCCCCCACCCCCCAAAGCCTATGAACACTGCATTTGTTTCCACCCTGCTAAGAAATCAAAAAGACAGACTGAGGCCTCAAAGTTATTGCCACCCGCTAGAAGGATAAGGCTAAACATGATCGAATTTAATGAGGACAAATTTAAATTACGCCCCTTAGGTTCACAAAGTCAATTGTTTATGTAGAGTATGGAAAACCTAAGTTAATAGCAGCCCGTGTCAACAGAACGTAACAGAGTCAGTTGGCTGTGAGTTGTACATGCCAACAGTGTGCTATGGCCACCCTTGTCCCACTTCTAATGGGCTGTTGATGCAGGAAATACTGCCGGGGAACCCAGAAAGCTTGTTATCTGACCAGAACACAGGAGAACACACAAGAAGGCGCAGCAGTGGCAAAGCAGAGATGCTGCTCAGGAAGAGGTCTGGGCGAGGTGGGGAGGGGTGGCCTCTAGCCTTGGGTTTCAGGGGGCCGCTTGGAGCATGGTCTGAAGCTGTCTCCAGCGAAGTACCTAGAAAACCCAGAAGCTAGGGGCATAGTTCTCAACCAACCAGGAAGCCTCAGAGAGAGGGATTTGGGGGGCTGCTGAGAGTAGAAGAAAGGTAGATTAAGGAATGCGTGAAGCCCCCCAGAAAAGCTGATCGCTGTGCTCATTTGCTTCAATCATGCGTCTGAGCTCTGATCATGGAGGTAGTAGCTCTGTGCATGGGAAATGCTACGAAACAACAGCCAGAGTGTAGACAGCGCTGGCCGGTGTGGCTCAGATGACAGGTGCCATCCACAGGGTGGTGAGGCATGACCAGGAAGAACTCACAGAGGATCTGGAGCTTGAGTAGGGCCTTGATAGGAGGGGCAGTGGAGGACGCCCTTGCAAGGCATGAGCTGGAGATGAGGAACTAGCTGGCTGGAGTCGCCAGAAATGGGGTGGAATGTGTAGGGGTCAGACCTGATCTGAGTGTACTTGATGGTCCAGGGCAGGAACTGAGATGGCTGGAGGGTGCTGAGGTGAGCTCTTGTCTATGAAATACAGAGTTCACGGCAGGGTCTCCTGGCTGGTGAAGCTGAATGGAATGAGGCCTTTGAATCAGTTTTTCTCCTGGTCGTGTGTGCCTTGTTTGGTTGGCTACTCATGTGTTGTGCTGATAATTGGTCACAGAGGTGGGTGCCTGGACGGTGGTGAGGAGGATGGCTGAAAGGGAACTCTCTGGGGAAGAAACCGCAGTGCTTTCTGACAGGAAGTGAAACCAAATGAGATGCGGATGAGAGGGTGATATCTAAATCGTAGAGTGTTCCCTTCCTTTCTCCTTTATTTCTTCTTTTCTCCCCTACTATGATTTAAATGTTTCCCAAATCTCACGAGTGGAATATTTACTCCCTAGTGCAATAGTGTTGGGAGATGGGACCTCATCGGAGTTGTTCTGGTCATGAGGGCTCCACCCTCACATGTGGACGAATGCCAGGGCTTTTGGAGTGGGCTTCCTCTCTTGTCCTCTGCCTTCTGCTGTGTGAGGACCCAGCGTGCAAGGTGCCATCTAGGAAAGAGAATGTCCTCACCAGATGCTGAGCCTGCTGGTGTCCTGGCCTTAGACTTCTCAGCCTTCAGAACCATGAGCCAACACAGTTCTGCTTATAAGTGACCCAATCTGTGGTTCTGTTATAGCAGCACCCCTGGAGACACCCTCATCCCTCAGTCCCTCCAACCTTTGCGGGACAGTAGCTACACAGCAGGTGCTCTGCTAAGGGGTGGGAGGCAGAGCTGATTGGGAAACAGTTCCTGCTCCCTGGGAATCTGTAGTCAAGACACACGGATAAGTATAGCAACACAGTTCTTTGTTGTTAAGATGCATTCTCAGTATAATAACAGCTTTTCAAAAGAAAAAAACCAGATACACCACCACCTCAATGTACACATTATTTGCAAAACATCCTAGTTTCAGCATTCAGACATGAAAGAAAAATGTGTTTTAAAGTTGAGCAATGTAAGCAGAGTAATCATTATCACCATAGGAGTGGGTACATTGACCTATCAGAACATAAAAATGCGGGAACAAATGGGTCTAGGGAGCGGTAGTTACAGCAGTGCGATCACTGTCACCACAAGGCGGGGCGAGGCGCCACTGGAACCCCCTGGAGGAAGCTCTTAACATTGTCTGGGGCCATCAATAAAATGCTTTGGACAGGAAATGGTTTTAGACGCCACCATTTAGGCTAACTATGGTGGACAAAGGGAAGTAGGGAGTCCTGGGTGGTTCCAGGCAGAGGGAGCAGCTTCTGCAAAGGACGGAGATGGAGCGGAGTGCAATGCATTCTGGGAGCTGCATTTTGTTGTCATTATCAGCAGTGGAGCAGAAGGGTCCTCCTCCGTCTGCAGGGGCCTGGACAAGTCTTACCATAAAGACAACAGGGAAGGAGGTTGAGGCATCCTTGCTAAACTTTCCCATCTCTTGAAAAGCTTTTCCTATTTTTGCCTAATGCAAAAATGGTGTGTTCTTAAATAGCAAGAATACGCAACAGATTTCAATCAATAGACTCAGAATTTTTCATTAAATCTGCTTGCTTATTTCCTCTAACCTTTTCTCCAGGGGAAGTGCGCCCTTTAGAAGTGATTGATTGTGTTGCCTGATTGGTACACACACTCTTTAGATATAAAGTATTCTCTCTCTCTCCTTCTCTCTCTCTCTCATCTTCCCAGTTGTTAAGCAGCTGCTTTCAGCTGAAACATCAGGCAGGCATGAAGGAATACATTTTTTGTTCAGATGTGTGCACATGTAAAGCTGTGTCTGAATTGCATCCTTGCAAAAAAGCCTTTGGGTATGAGCACGCTGAGGATGTCATTAGCAGGAAATTCATCTGTGTGGTTACCAAGAGGGAGAGACAGCGACCATAGTGTTAAAAGAAAGCCCAATCAGCAGTCCAGACCATTGTGTCCAGGAAGGCCTGTTGGAAGGAATGAACAGTACTGGGTTCATTAAAACATCCTCTTGGGCTGTGCCTCTTTGGGTTCTGCAGGGGACAGACCCTCTTGTGGGGCCAAGAAGTATCCCGCTCTGGTCCTTTCTGCATTCACTCCACAAATTATCTCAACTCACTGTAGGCCCAGAGGGGGCAATCTTCTGCGGACTCCTTATCACAGGGGACCCCTGAGCTGTCAGAGCCCAGGGGATCAGGGTAGGTAGAGGAGCTGACTCTTGGACGACACAGATTTGAACTTCACAGGTTCACTAATATGTGGATTGTTTTCAATGAATATATTGGAAAATTATTTGGAGATTTGTGACTATTTGAAAAAACGCACAGATGAATAAATATATAGCTTAGAAATATTGAAAAAATTAAGAGAAAATTAGGTATGCCGTGAATGGATACAAATGATATTCATATCGTTTACTATCACAGAATACCCTTGAAACAGCCAGATCGACCCTCTTTCTCCTTTTCTCCCTCCTCCTCCTCGTCAGCCTATTCAAGGTGAAGATGATGACAAGGACAGAGACCTTTATGATGACCCACTTGCTCTTAATTAATAGTAAATGTATTTCCTCTTCCTTGCGATTTTCTTAATAACATCTCCTTTTCTCTAGCTTACTTTATTATAATAATACAGTCTACATTACATACACCATACAGAATATGTGTTAATTTTTTTTAATGTGATTAATAAGGCTTCTGGACAACACTAGGCTATCAGTAGCTAAGTTTTGGGGATTTTTGACCGCTGAGCAGAAGGGCTGGCATCCCTAACTCCAGCATTGTTCAGGGGTCATCTGTAGTTAATCCTAAAGGCTGTTTCAATTCCACTACAGTAATCTAAGTAAAAGTAAAGATACACCCAGCTGAATGTTCATATTGTGCACCAGGTACTCTGCTGAGAACTTTATGTTTATTATTTCATTTAATCTTCATAGCAACTTTGTGAGGTTTGTCTCTTATTGTCCCATTTTACAGATGAGGAACTGAGGTTTAGAGGTGTTATGAACTTAGCCCAGGGAAACTCAGCTGGTAGGTGGCAGAGCTGGAATGAGTCCATATTCCTGACTCTGTAGCCTACACTTTTAATGTGTTTAGTCATTAGAAGTTTAGTTCTCTTGGGCTGCTATAGCAAAATACCATAGACCGGATGGCTTAAACAACAAATATTTCTCATAGTTCTGGAGTTGGGGAGGTCCAGCATCAAGGTGCCAGTGGGATCTGGAGAGGCTTTCTTCCTGGTTTGAAAATGGTGCCTTCTGGC